ATTTATTACGATGTTTATAAAGAACTTTTATATATAAAAGAAGACAATGCAAAATCGTTCACGGCTCGTGTATAATATATGTCTTACCCCTGCTTTGTTAATAAAACCAAATATATAGGTACCATTAATTTTGAATTAAATGCAATTAATCATAGAAGTATTAGATCCTTTGTAAATCTTAAGTATTTAGAAATTTAATATTTTTTTAAATTTTTGTTTTGATATCTTGAGCCATAAATTTTTAAAATATTTTAAATTCTACTTTAATTTTTTATATAAAAAAATTATATGATTATTACCAATTATTTTCACTATCCAAGATTCAATATTAAATAATATTATAATTTAAAATAATATTATAATAAAAAATATTATAATTTAATGAATCTAATGTATGAATCCATTTGTCATGAACAACTTGAAATTAAAATGACATTCGAGTGTTACACCTCTGCTTTCATATTCATTGATACAACTTACAATGATATCCTAATATTTCAACAAGTTAAAGCTAAGGTATTAACAAACAGCGTATTTTTATGTTGAATGCACGACTTCGTACATGCATTAATATTTACCATGTGCTAGGGTGTTTGTGTATATGTGCTGTGTGCACAATCGCACACGCATATATGTGTGTACCACATATAAACGCTAACAAATAGTCACTGGAGCGTCGCACGAACGACGGGACACGAAGTGTTATGGTTTATACTTAACCAGGGGTATGCTTTTCGATTGCAAACACTTATCACACACCCATTCTGCATAGACCTCTTGCGTTAATGATTGATAAGCGTATTCTGTTAATCCTGTGCAGCCCCTGAAATAATCGCGTTGTCAAAAAAAAAAATCATATTTTATATTACTTTGTTCATCATTGTTTTAACAGCTCACCTATGAAACCAAAAATTACAACCTGATTCGCACAGAATTGCCTGATCATTATCGTGTACTTCTTTATGACAAATTCCACAGGGATAAATCGGTGGTGCATTAGGATTTTGTGGATTAAATACCATTGATTGATCTGGAGGATATATCTGCAAAAAAAATGATAAATTACAAATAAATTTGTTTAATCTAAACTTGCTGAATATAGTTATCATAAATTAATTATATTAATTGCAAGTATATTGATATTTAATAAAAGCATAACTTACTTTGCCCGCAGAAATTGGCATTGGCTTTGGACCCATTCCTGGTGGACCTTGAAACCCGTGTGGTGGCATAGACCCTCCCATAGAATTGATAGGATGTCCCATAGGTGGTCCACCACCCATATTGTTGGACATTGTGCCCATTGGACCTGCCATGTGACTTCCCATTTGATTGTGATGGCTAATATTCATATTGGACATACTACTCATTCCTGGACCACCCATATTCATATTATTTATTTGATTTGGTCCAGTCATATTCATGTTGTTCGATACCATCGAACTCATGGTGGTCATAGGTCCATTCATAGGTCTTCCTAAGTTGTTAAGATTATTTCCCATATGATTCGGATGAGGTTGAGATCCATTATGTCCCAGTGGGCTGTTTACATTGTTTAGTGATGGCCCATTTAATGGACTGTTGGGCGGTATATGGCTATTTATGTTATTCATGTTCATTGGTCCATTAGGCATATGATTAGATCCTCCCATGTTCATTGGAGATCCTAAAGGTCCACCCATAGGACTGCCCATATTATGACCCATGTTGTTCATTGGGCTACCCATAGGTCCACTGTTCATATTATTCATCGGACTACCCATAGGTGGTCCACTTAGTTGCGAATTTCCCATATGGCTTATATTCATATGATTATTCATGGTGTTCATTGGACCAGGAGGCATATTTGGACCCATGTTATTCATAGGGCTCATGCCTCCAATAGGAGCATGATTCATAGGAGACATAGCTCCCATATGATTCATGTGATTTGTCATGGGTGAATTACCCATAGGGCTCATATTACCCATATTATGTGGCATCATAGGACTCATGCCACCTATCGTAGTTAAAGGGCTCATGCCTCGCATAGGAGGACCACCCATGTGATGTGGATGATGAGGATGCATATGTGAAGGCGCACCATGCATCATTGGACTTTGCGGCGTTGGTGGTGGCGTATCATCGAAAGGATTACTTGCTACTATTGTGTCACCGTAACCAGTTAAGGGTGGAGGTAATAGGTCCTGTTGAAAGAATGTTAGATTAATAATAAGACAATAATTCATAGCATTAATACACTAAAATATGTATAAAATAAAATCAAGTTGTACCTGTACAGATGGAGGTTGTTGCGGAGGTGGTTGAGCAACACTTGCATTTGTACGCCTTTTCTTTTTAGGATTAGCACCAGCTGGTGGTGGCGGTGGTGGATGGGGATGAGCAGAAGAGTCAGGATGTGGGGCATTGGGGCCCATATTCACACCCATTCCCATACCCCCCAATGGCATCCTTGTGAAGGGTGGCATGCCCGCAATATTGTGGCTCATTTCCTTCGCTTCCCTTATTTTATCATGCCAGCACCACTGGATTTTCGTGGCAAGTAATTATTCTTAATCCACTGTTAAAAAAACAAGCAAAAAGAAACTTTATTTACTTTAAAAGATGTACATGTATATAAAGAATTTAATAACTGAAGGATTTGCAATACTTGTTGCTTACTGCAACTCACAATATAGTCTAACCATTGATATATAGTACTGGACGGAGCATGTGGCAAAATCTCTTTGATCTCTCATTTGGACCTAAAAAGAAAAAGGTAAATATATGGCTATATATTTACCTTTAGAATTCTCTTTCTACTATTGTCCTATTGGTCGAATTTTGTTGAGAGAAAGAGAGAGAGAGAGAGAGAGAGAGAATGTGAAGATGGTCAATCTCTCTCTCTCTCTTCCCAAATATTGTGATTGCTTGAATAGAAAAATTAAAACTTGAATAATCCTATCTCTCCCATTATTTTCGACCAATTTTACACAGAATGGCGTCCATATTATATCTCTCTCTGGTTCTATCATACATAGTTTCAGATCTTTCTAGGTCTGCCAAAATGGTTTCAATGCTGTACTCTCTCCATATATATCAATAAGTCTAATACCTGATATTGGCAGAAATTAGACAAAGTCCTCTATTTGTTTCTTTTACAAAATATATGTTAGCCACTGTTGTAAAAAATACTTTAGTTATAATTTTACAAATATGCATATTATCAATCAATAAGTATTTGTTGATATTTGTAATAGATTCCATGAGAGTAGGCAAATATTCATTAGTCTTAATGCAAATATGTAATGTTTTATATTATTAAATGATTAAATTAAGTCAAAGCTTAATTCAATAAATCAAATTTATGTTTAATGTTTAATTTCATGTTTCATAAAATAATTACTTGTGATTATTGAAAATAAATATTAATTTCATATATAATAAATATAATTTGTGTATAAACTTCTTTATACATTTACATAAAAAGATAAAAATAAAAAGATAATTTAACAATTATATGATCATTAAGCAACATTTATTCACATTTATATAAATTTAAAAGTTAATAATATTATTAAATATTATTCAAATAAAATTATTGCAATAAATAATGTATGTATATCAAAATATATATACTTTCGATATTTATATAAATATCTTATATAATTATTTATAAAAAAAAACTAGACTTCCATTACTTGAACCATCACTTGAACATCTCTCACAATAAATTCATTAATAATTACTGGATTATTTCAGTCAGATATAAAATAATTATTAAAGTTACATCCAGTTTTTACTTGTGTGTGTGTGTGTGTGTGTGTGTGTGCTATACTGTAATACTGTTCGAGAAATTTTTTAACGAGTCACCAATTAGAATGGCAGCGTATATGACGGATATACAGCCGCGGAGTAGCGAAACATTCTTATCGCATCGTTGCTCCATTGAAATTATTCTCGCGGTGTGAGAGACTTATCACTTATAAACAAGCTGGTGCGCGAGAGAGCGCACGTATATTCACACTCGTATACTCGGGACCCGCGTATGTATATCTGTACATCTCAGCGTACCGTCTATATTTACATATGCTGATATAAATAACGAAATTACTACCGTTATCTCGGGTGGCGCGCCAGCGGTCCGTCCATCACGAATGAGACGGAAGATCGTGGAGGCGAAAGAGAGAAAGAGACACACACACACACACACGCACGCATACACACACACACACACACACGTGCGCGCGCGGTAAAAAGAGTAAAAAAAAGAGAGAGAAAGTGAGAGAGAAGCGCCTTTACGACACGACTGTACCTTCGGAACGGCGATAAGAGACTTGCGATACAACAAAATAGAGAAGAATACTCGTCGGGTCTCGTCGCGCGGCGAACGTAAAAAGGAGCAAAACAAACGTCGCCTTGCAGTTCTCTCGCTGAGACTAACCTAACCTAGTGGGATATCACCATCGAGCCTTCGTAAGGCGCCTCCGCAAGTTGACCGCACACGATTTGTGTGCATCCGCAGCGGCGGGATAAATGTAACATTTATGTACAGCGGTGTTTTTAAGGCAGGATGATAAGATTGAACGGAAACACGCGTGATGCCGGGCGATTTAAAAAGCCGGCCGGGTATCCGTGACGCGAAGGAATCGTTCGAATGACGTTGTCGTACTCACCAGCGCATTATAGCGGACGCGACGACAAAATCGTATGCATGGCACGGTCGTTTTTTTCCCCCGGAATAACACCGGCACCACAAATCCACGTCGCGAGTCGCAATCCAGTCGCCGCCACTACCATGAACCGTCGCCGATTCCGCCACTGTTGTTACTGCCGCCGCCACTGCCGCCGCTACTGTTGCTGCTTGCTGCACTACTGCTGCTGCTGGCCTTAGCAAGACGAACCAGACGAACGATCTGTCTGTATGCGATTCTGGCTCACGCCTCGCACGAAACGCATCTCTCGGTATCGCGAACGGACCGCGCATTCACGGGCGCGCGTACACGATCGCGACGAACGCAATCTCGCACTCTTGGTGTCAGAGCTCGGATAATGGAGCGAGGTATCGCCATACACCACACGAACCTTCTCAGGTCGCCATTGTCGCGTTACGCGTGTCCTCCTCGCGCTTGATTTGTCGCCTATTCGTGGCTATGAGTTGCCATGTGCTTCCGGTAGATGGCGGTTTGATGTTGCCGACGACGTATCAAGTTTGCAGACGTGACTCGGTCGATATAAACGGTGGATTCGAGATTTTTTGATGACCTACGATCAGGAGGAATTTCGAAATGCAAATTTAGGATTTCTTTCAAGATTACTTTTATATGGAATTTTTATGTATTGTTGTTATTAAAGGATCCTATAAATCATGTGAAAAAAGTGATTCGGTCATTGACTGAAACAATGATATTTTGTAAATTATGAAATGTTGATCAAAAGTTTCTTTAGGCAAAACCATAAAAAATGAACAGATTTTGCTACAGCAACATTTGAAAATTATTACTTAATTTGGATCTAATTCGAAAAGTAACTGTATGTATTTTCATATTTTTTTTGCAGAATAATGAGAAGAATCAATTGTACAAAATATATAAAAGAAGACATATAGTTTTTTGTTATTGAATAAAAATATGTAGTTTATAAGAACACAAATTGTATACTTTTTTAAAAGCAACTTCGTAGTTTCTTTACATCAATTAATTCATCTCATTATTCTATGCGTAAAAGTTATAAAAAAAATGAATAGTTTAGATAAAGATGATACTTTTCAATTCGATTAGATTCGAAATAGCAACTTTTGAATGCTGTTAGCAAAATTTCTTCATTTTTTATGTTTTTGTCTAAAAAAACTTTTAATTTAAACATCTAATAAAATCTGCAATCATAATGTATAAAAGTCAAAAATATGTAAAATAGCTATAGTTTACATAATTTATATTATATATACATCTAGCAAACTAGATTTTTAATGTTATTGTCACTTTTGACGATATTTTGACGTTAAAGACGTCATTTTGATGTCGAAATAACGACAAATAACGTCAACTTATTTGCTGGGCATGCATGTAGTTGTAGATTATTATATTTTACGCGTAAACGCAAAACTCTGATGACCATGTCACACACCAGTCTCACACACCCGTTTCTCTAATATAGATTAACTTTAATCTCGGTAAACCAATTTATTTTTTATTTAATTTTCCTCATTCTAAAAATTTTAAAAAATGAAGAATAAGTTGAGCCGAGATTACAAAATAATCTATTTGATGCAAACAAAATCAGTCATTCTTATGCAAGATCGTTATAGTTTCATATTGAAACATATGTTTCAATATATAAATATTTATATCTTTTGATTAAGATCAGTTTAAACGAACGTGAAAGATCTTTATTTTACATATATTTCATATAAATTTATTTATACTAAACTTGTGTCCGAAACGAATCTTCATAACGTATCCATATTTTTTAATTTTCCTGAAAATATAAGCTTTCGCCTTTTTTTTCTTTGCTTTTCAACGTAGAATATTGGATACACTATATTTAAAAAGAACATATTCTGCTTCATAGCAATCGGGAATTTAAGTTAAATTACGTCAATCTATATTAACTTTCAATCCTCTGGAGCTGATGCTAGGTCTATTGAATTCACTCAATTATCTCTTTGTCAAAAATATCAAACTATTCAATTTTCTTTACATTATTTGCAATTTTAAATTATTCTTATTAAAACATAAATAATATTTTATTCTTATTATAAAATATACTTGGTATATTTTAATAAGAATAATTATTTTTTAATACGAGATGTGTCATTTTGATTTTTTTGAAATTAATTAGTGTCTTTTCAATTAGCATAAATTAAATGAGTTTGATAGATTCAACGTCAGTAACTGTGATACAGATTTTGACGTTCGCCCTGGAAGGTTAATATAAAATAATATAATTTCGAGCGCGCGCGCGCGCTAAGATTGATTAAACTCGTGGATAAAAAAAATATTCCGTAAGAGATACTGCTATGAAAATTCAAGTTTTAAACGATAAGTTTTGTATGAAGTAATTTTTATTCGCGTTACGAATAAAGTGGTATGCATGGTCGACACAGGTACGTGAAATTCACGCTATAATATTTTGCACGACGCGGGCTGCTATAGCTGTGTCCGAGCTTAAAGCTTCGGCGTAGAGTGCTCGCATGCATCGCTTTAATTATTTCAGTTACATCAGTGAATTAACCTGGCTTAACAGCCAGGAAAACAGCTCTCCCGAGTGTCTACCTTGAATATTTGAGCTGACTGCCTACCTGTCTGCATACGCTACGCGTGCACGGTCCCTGGAACCGGAAGTCACCGCCGTCTTACTCATTATTTTATTTTAATACTGACACAAACTTGCCGCATTATGGGACACGCTTCAGGTCAGTCGAAATGATTATCTCCGAAGAGAACGATATGTAACATAACATTGAACATGAAAAAGTAGTTAGAACTAAGTGAGAGTCGATACTAGGCGAGATACTATTTGTTATGTTTAAGGGAGATAAGATTTAAAAAGAGTCTTTATATCCCAACATTACTACATAAATTAGATATAATAAAATTGAATAATACAACAAAATTAGTAAGAATCTTAGATCCCGCAAAATTTGCTATTTTGGTGCTACCTTTTGCAGTTATCTTTTGCATAATTATATGTTGGATGCATGAAATACTATTGCTACTCAATTATAAATTTTTTTATTAAAAACAAACGTTAAACAATTCAATCTTTTTTATTAAAGAAAGTCTGTAAGTTTGAATTATAATTTTATTAAGATATATATTTAGTATTCATTCTTTTTTATGCAATTTATCAGTTTAGTTTTTTGAAAATAATTAGTGATCTTTTTAATTAACATAAATTATACAGTTGGAAAATTTGTATTAAATTTAATATATTTCACAAACAACTCTAAATGATCCTCTTAAATTTTCATGTTAATTTAACACAAGATAAATATATTAGTAACACAAATATTATAAAATAAAAAAATGTAACATAATATGAAATATTACATATAACGAAATTAATAAAAATCTTAGAAGTTTTGTCTTACATCTTCTCACACACAAAATTTGTGTCATTTTGGTGAAGTTGTCTCTTGCGTAATTACATATCTGTATGCATGAAGTAACTTTCACGACATTATTTCACATGGCGAAAGAAAAATCTCTGATATAGACCAATTGTCCATCTGTTGCCCAAATAGACAGACGAAATTAATTCAATCGGCCATTTTCCCGAAGCTGATATATAATATGAAAAAGCGGGGATGCCTCTTCCTCTTCATTCACGTTAACGACTCTATCGATCTCATTAACTGTCTGGGAATTCGCGATTTATTTTTATCGAAAAATATAGAGTTATAGAGTATATATATATATATATCCCGGAATCGCCGTTTTCGTCCGGGTAAAAGTGGTACAAATCGGGAGCATCGTGAACGGAAAAACTGGGCCAATCCCTGGAGAAGAAGAAAACTGGGATGGTGTGTCCCGGGGGAATTTCAACGGGGTACGAGGACGAGAGTATGACAAAAGACGTGAGGACGAGGGAAGGATTTAATAAATTTCTCCGAAGGAGTCCACTAAGTGGGGTAAATCATACGGTTATTGGCCTCTTAGAAGATATTTCTTTGTATTTCTTGTTGTGTAATTACGAAGCGATGTCTCGTGTTTCCGTTAATCCGATTATTACGTTCCTTTATTAATATTTTATATTTAAGAAACGTTAATGAAGATTAAAATGGAAACTTGCTCGGGTCTTTTAATTAAAAGTATGTAAAAATAGAAATGTTTAAATATCGAATTATCATACAGGATTTTGAATTCCAAAAACGTTCTTAAATTTATTTTTACGTAGATATAACCTCCTTTAAAAAAATATCCGCATTAAGTAGAAATATCGGACGAAAGAAGGTCACTCATGAAAATTCATTGGACTTTGTAGAAAGCGATTTATTTTTATATGAAAGTAAACTTCAAAACCTTCTTCACAGATAATTTGACAATAATGTCTAAACTCTTCATTATCGTATCTTCATAAAGAATTCTTTTCAATCAATAAAAAAAATCAAATAAAAAAAAAGGTTTTTATATGGTGTTTAAAAAAGCTCTCAATGTATAACTTATCGAAAGCAATAAGCCGCCACTCAAAACAAAACTTGTTCCCTCCAATAAAGAGTGCCGAAACTGCTATTCCATTTTGTTTAACAGTATCAATATTGTGTCCTAAAAACAAAAGAAAGAATCGGAAAGGAATCACAATCGAATCAGACCTAACAAGGGTGGCGGAGGATGCAATCGGTGGATTACTCGTTGTGGCAATCGTCCACCTATGCGAACAGATTCCGCAAATAGCGACATCGTCCAAACAAAAACGACGCGCCAATCAATCTGTCACGTGGTGCATACGTGTCCTGAATAAGAAACGAACGATTTGCGCAAATTACACAAAGACCGAGCGATTTACTCAGACCTCAAAAAGAAGCGGCTTACCTATCCGTATCCTGATAACTTCTTCCGGTGGCGCTCGTTTATAATTGCATATTTGGACGATTAATGAATTTTCAATGTCTTTACGAGTCGATTTCAGATCGCTCAAAGAAAATATTATTAAAGAATCATGCCATAAAAGAGAAGTGTCTATATGATCATAAATAATTTATAGACTCTTTTCCTTTTTTCTTTCTGAACATTTATCTTTGACGATTAAAAATACAAAGTTTAACTATCAAATACTACTTATGACTTAAATCTCAACATTAGCTTCATCATTTTCCTCTTATTTTTTTCTCTCTAAATTTTTATTTGCAAGAATTTTATGAAATTTCAGATAGATAATTTTAGAATCAAAAATAATCGTTAAAAATTTACTCCATTACACACATAAAAGAAAGAATGTTTATTTTTCGCAAAAAACATTTAAAATTTTATCGCATTTTCCGAAAATACATTGCAATCAAATACTATTTGATGCGATATTT